TTCATAATGAGGCAAAGTAAAAAAACATAGTTGAGAGTTTATTTGAAGAAAAGTTTTAAGGATGCAATTGTGTAGATCTGCATTGTTCAATACAGTAGCCACTGCCCACCTGTGGCTATTTAAATTGAAATAAATCAAAATCAAAGCAAGCATTCATTTCCTCAGCACCAGTAGGCACATTTCAAGTGCTCGATAGCCACAGAGGGCCAGTGGCTACCATATTGAACAGTGCAAATACAGAACATTGATGTCAATGTGTAATTTTTTTTTTTTGGATAGTGCTGGGTGAAAGCTGTTTTACACTGGATCGGTATCTTTTTATTTAGCATTTACTCCAGCTCTAAATTACCTCTCTTTAGAACTTGATCTGGCTCTGGATAAGTCTGTGTGCACCTGCATTGTCCCATACAGTAGCCCACGATTTACCAGTGTCTGTTGAATCCTGGAAATATGGCCAGTCTGAATTGAAATATACTGTAAGTGTAAAATACACATTGGATTTCAAAGCTTTTGCGTGAATAAAGAATGTAAAAATATAGCATTAATAATTTTTCTAATTATATGTTGAAATATTTCAGATATATGGAGTTAGGTAAACTGTATTGTTGAAATTACTTTCATGTGTTCTTTTTCACCTTATTTAATGTTGCCACAAGACCATCTTAAATTACATACATGGCTTGCAATATATTTTCACTGGTCAGTGCTGTTCTAGACCTCTTTGCCCTACTGTGTGACTGTAGAACTCTCTTCCTTTCCCTATCTCTTTCTGTATATCTGCACTGCCCAATACAGTAGACATAAGCCACCTGTAGATATTTCCATTTAAATTAATTAAAATGAAACAAAATTTAAAATTCAGTTCCTCTGTCTCATTAGCCACATTTCAGATGCTCAGTAGCCACATGTGGTTAGTGGCCACCAAACTGTGGAGAATAGAGGTAGAACACTTGCATTGTTGTGGAAAGTTCTGTTGGACAGCTCTCACATAGATGGTACACAGCTATGGCAAGAGACACAGAGGTGGATCATGAATGCCTAAAGCTTGGAGAATGTTTCCAGATTGCCAAACCCCATGGCACATCCTTCTTCCATCTCCTAGATGCTTATCTCTCCCTATCTTAGACTTATTCACGCACACCTTATATTTTCTTCTCTCCTCCTTCAAGGGCTGTGGCCTGCTTATTTAAACCTGAATATACCTCCTTCCTGTATGAACACAGTGTCTAACATGGTGCATTGTACAGTATAGGTACTCATTAAATATTTCTTAACCAGTTGGAGTGGCAATTCCTAGCAAGTGACTGGAAATATGTGACTAAAGGTAGAGGGAGATCTATATGGCTGGTAGCAGTGGGACAGGGGCCAGGGGTGGGCAGTGGCGGTGATGAATCTAGGATCCCAAGGCAGAGAAGGAGAGAGCAGAGAGACAGCAAAGAGGAAATGAGAGAGACAGTAACCCAAAATCTCGTACACATCACCAAAATCCTTCTGCCCATCCCACAAGCTCCTCGCAGGCAGTGACAAGAGTAACTGCAGAAAAATTCACAGGGTTAGGCAACAGCTATATAAAAAGTGTGAAAGAAATCCAAAATATTATTACACGATAAATAAACATACCAGACCCATAAATCAGAAGTTGAAATGGCATGAAAATTAAGGGGCTGGTGAGGAGAAAAAATGAAAAATGCTCTGTCCCTGGGCCAGCTGGTGTGAGTTACATTTTATGAGCAGCATGTGAATTCCAGTGCCCTTGCTGGATTAGCAGCAGAATCGCACATTAGTTTTAAAGCTCCCTCTCGAATAGGAACATCATAACGTCTTTTAATTGGGCCTGATAAAAACGTAGCATTACTTGTAGGTTCCTGAGAGAAGTGAGTTGTGAAATTGGGTTTTCATTAAACCTAATGATGGAAAATTAAGTATAGTGCGTCTGGTGAAATGGAGTGTGATAAAAGACATCACTTCTGCATTATCAGAGGTTAATAAGGGAATAGGTGAGGTAAGATACTTTGGAAAGGGGAGTCCAACCCGTTGGATTAATAAACCTTGAAAATCCCTTGGTTCTGAGTCTTCAAAGCATCGTTAGCACTGGCATTGACATTATTGCAAATGTTACAGCAATACAAGTTGTTAAATTTCAATGCATTTATTTTCCATTCCAGTGTTGGTTTTGCTGACACCAAGTTTACAGTCTGTCTAGCAATGTGTTTAGGGAAAATATCCATATTGACAGCTATTTGGTTGGTTTTGGAAACATCTGACGTTTCTCACACACATAAAAAGCCAAGTTCCCATTCCTAGGAAGCCTGTCTTTCCCAGGCAGCTGGTCTCCCATGCAGCCCATGCCCCAAGTTCCTCTGGGAGACTATGGGTCTCCGAAGACATCTGTCCCCATCACACATGGTGGGAAATACAGGCCTCCTAGCATTGACTCAGCTCATCCTTTCCTAGAAATCGTGGAGTATGGCATGACTCCAAGCTTTAGGTATTCACAATCCATACCTCTGTGGCTCTTGCCATAGCTTTGTACCATCTCTAGATGAATCAAACACAAGTGCTCCCTTCCTCTCCATTTCCAATCACACCATCACAGGAGTGATATTCGCTGGAAGGATGCCTTTGATGACAGCTATTCATGACAGCTGGGACACCTACAAGAAACTGTGTGAGTCTTTAAAGAAGGAGATTCCTCCTAAAACCTTTCAACAGGTTCACACTGGCTTCAAGGGTCTTACACATTCACAGTCTTTCTGGATCTGCCTTGCATCGTCTCTTACAGTGTTTCCCCCCTGACATTTCTACCCACAGCTTTTACTCCTAATCAACCTCCTTGCTCTTAACTAAATGTGCCTTCATCTCTCAGGCTCTGTCCTTTTTCTTCAGTTGGTTTTTCTTGCCTATTTCCTTGCTAAACTGTCAAGCCTTGAGGGTGGAATCAGTATTTCTGTCTGCATTGCCACTGCCTACCACAGTCCTTGGCACAGAGTGGGTTCTCAGTAAGTCGAACTCATGAACCCAAGGGGGTGACGGAGAAAGGAAACAGCCCCCATGTTTGCCAAGTGGTGCATTTAAGCAATGCCAGTGAACACATACTAGCTATTACCTAAAATCGCGGGAGAAAAAGTAAGCAGTATTTCTCTTCTGTGCAGTCAAGAAGGTTTTGCTAACAACTTGCCTGGGCCCTTCTTTCTTGTGCATATATCTAAATCTTAGAAATCTTTCTGTAGGCAATCCAGGGGTTATTTGGCTGGCCCCCAAAGGACAGTCTCTGCTTTGGGGATGTTTACCTACCACCCTGAATCAGGAAGTTTTGGAGACCACGCTCTACCTACAATGACCCCACCTGCTAATTAGGTATGACCCAATCAATGTCTCAAGCTCAGACCAGTCAGATTAGTAGTCTCTCCTCTCTTGGAGGAGCCAGTAGGTGGGGGCAGGCAGAAGGCTGCAAAGTGAAAAATTTATCCCCTACTCCAACCACAGGTATAATTGAAAGCATTAGGGTGACCAACCATTCCCGTGTGCCCGTGACTGAGAGGTTTCCCAACAGCTGAACTTTAAAAGCTAAAACTGGAAAATTGTCAGTCAAACTGGGACAAGTTGGTCACCTAGAAAGCAGGAAGGCCAGGTGTTCCCTTCCATTATCTTTCCTTGCCAGGAACAGGCTTGCTGATGTTGCTGCAGAAAACTAGAGTGTGCATTCACACACGGAATCCATGTCTGATGGATTATTCCAACATGACAGGCAAACAAGCTGAAGGGAACGTGGATTTTGAAAAGACAAGTTGCAGAAAATCGGGAATATATGCTAAGCCTCCCAGGGAGTGAGTATGGCATAGGCCGAGTGGGTATCTGCATAGGTGTTTTGCAGGGTCTGAAAACATCTGGGGGAGACACATCAACTGCTGCAGCTGACAGTTCTCATCTCTTGCATGCCACAAACAAGATGGTCCGGGGCATAGACTGTTCATTCATGTCTTTGGAAGGAGGTTGGGAAGACCAAGCCTAGATGGTTCTGGGAAAGGTAAACTGGCCCTGAAAGACCAGGAATGTATGCCTGGCAGGAAGGTGGTAAGCAAGACATTGGTTTTAGTGGTCCAAGGGGAACAGAAGAATTCCAACCCAGTATGAGCAAGCATCAGCTTTCAGGGTGGCCAAACTGACAGAAGGCAGTTAAAGCAACTCATTGGATGAAAAGGTTTTTATCAAGAGAGAATATAGATCTTACATCAGGCAGAGATTTTATGAAGGTGATGAGGCACGGGATCCAGGCCTGGAGAAAGTAGCTAGCAGCACTGAAGGAAGAGGTCTAGGCTTCCCTACCTGCAAGGTGGGTTCAATGATGCCACTGGATTAATAGTATTAAGTGATGGGGAAACTATACAATAGCAAGAAGGTGGTCACTGTGGCAGAGCTCATAACTACAGAGAGCAGCTGGGAGGGTCAGGGTCCCTGCTAGCTGCTGGCAGTGCAATACTGGCTGCAATTCCTCCCAGTGTAAAACTCAAAGGAAAAAAAGTTAGTAGATAAGCCAGATCACAGGGATGCAGGCAGATGGACCAGTGGCATACATGTGACTCCAATCTTTGAGCACCTGAGGTCACCTGAGGCTCTCCTCCCCTGCAGCCAGGCGTCAGGCACTATTTCCAGCCTCTCTGCTTCCTAAACAGGAGGGGGGCTCCCAATAAATAGCCTTCCTGCTTCTCAGTGGTTCTGCCCCACCAAGTCTAAAGGAAGGACTGAGACAGACTGGAATGACAACCAAGCTGGAACTTTGTCAGTATGTGCCCTTGAAATGTATTGTGTGCGTTGGTTTGTTTGTGGGTTTGATGCTTAGATCTACCAACACAGCCAGGCCGGGGAAGGAGCGGTTTCCTGATCAGTTGAGTCCCAAGTTGGTTCCCTCTGTCCTCCTCAGGCCATGCTTGGGGAGACAGGGAGGACAAAGGGCAACGCTTCTATAGGTGATGATCTGTTCTGCCTCCTTCTTTTCGAAGCAGATGGCAGCCGTGGGGAGCTTTCCCAGCCCACTCTCACGATCCAGACTCATCCCTACCGCACCTGTGACCCTGTGGAGATGAGTTACCCCCGGGACCAGTTCCAGCCTGCCATCCGGGTGGCTGACTTGCTGCAGCACATCACGCAGATGAAGAGAGGCCAGGGCTACGGGTTCAAGGAGGAATATGAGGTAAGAGACCAGCCTGTGGGGAAACTTTCTGATTGTTTCAGAGGCTTATTTGGGCACTAAAGCCTTGCTACAAAAAGCATGGCTCCCTGGCCAGCAGCATCAGTATCACCTGGGATCGTGTGGGAAATGCAACATGTCAGGCCACGTCCCCCCCTACTGAATCAGAACCTGCATTTTAACCAGAAACTAGGTGATTTGTATACACATTAAATTTGAGAAGTGCCATGCTAAATAATTCTAAGACATCCTTTTTCACTCCTGTTTCTCTCCCCTTCCCCTTTCATTATCCAGAGTTTCATTATCTCCAAAGTTTCTACACCTTGGAGTCTCACCTCCATTCAATATGCCAGAATGGCTCCAGCTCCCATCCCACATGCTATAGAAAAGCCAGCACATCTCCCCTGCCAATGATTTCCAGCATGCCTGCTTGCTCTTGGTCACCTCTTGTCTCATACTCAAGCTTCTGTAGTATTCTGGTCCTCGCTCCCACCCCACAAAGGCAATGCTTCATCTCCAGTGACCACAGTTCCCTCTTTCTGCACCTTCTCTTCACCGTGCATGGGCATCCCTTTCCCACCTCCGCAAAGCATCTCTAACACAAAGGATTTGCAGGTAGTGGTTGTTACCGAGGTTTGGGGAATAATAGGGAAGGACTGCAGCAAAGGACAGGCAGCACCTCAATACAACGCTGTTCTTCTTATAAGTTCCTTAACCATCTACATTGCTGGTAAGGCCTTCTAAGGTTCTGGTCTCCCAACAGGTCTCTATCTAATTTCTCCTCAAAGTCTTCTTTAGTGTCCTCAAAACTTCCTCCACCCCCACCCCTCAGCATCCAGACAAAGGGCCCCACATTCCTCTTTTATTTTGCAGAACAATTTAGCTTTCTCTATCTCACTCTTTTTGTTTCAAATCCTGCCCATTAGGCCTCACCTTTTACAAACAAAAAGCAAAATAAAAGGAAAATGCATTAAGACGTTTTTTCTGAACCAAAGAGCAGCTGACTCTCCAAGAATAATTCTGCCACTCTCCTAGTTGCAGGTAGACTCCAGCTGCAGCCAGCTTTGAAAACAAGAATTTCTTTCTTCACTTTTCCTTTCCTCTCTCTCCCTTCCCAAAATATCTTTTGAGTATCTTCTGTGTACCATGCTCTGAGTTATATGTATTTGTGTGGGGTTTTTTTTTGTTATTGTTTGTTATTTTTTTTTCTCTTCACATGCAGTGTGTGCCCTAGATATGCTTGATTCAGTTTTGCTGTGTGCAGTAGAAAACTCATTGGCTCAGACTCCACACATTTGGAATTCTTGATATTGCAGACTAAGTTTATCCCTCAGACTATATTCTGAGAAAGAGCTTACAAAGCAATATTTCTGAAGTCGTATGAGGTCATGAAATTGTGCTAAACTGGGGATCCAGACAGCTGGATTCCAATGTAGTAAGCTGTTAGATTTTAGAATTTTGCTATCTGAGTTTTAAAATTCTTTATTAGTTGAATGAAGAATTTGGATAAGGTGATCTCTCAGGACCTATCTGGTCCTAAAGCTTTATGAGCGTGTACAACATGGTGACAAGGGGCATGTTTGACATATCTATGAGAACAAAAATGTTTTTGTCAATGGATGTGAGTAATTACCAGCTCGGGAGGGCTAGCACTTAATTTCAAAAACGGTCTAAGTAAAATAGCATTTTTCATATTCTCATCTACAAATCTTAAAAGGATATTCAAATTAGAGTTGAAGATGATGATCTCATTACTACCCATCCCTGGATCTCATTTGCTAGGGGATTGAATGGTCCCAGTCTCGGGGGCATAGGGTGCATGTGAGTGTGCTTTGTGTGTGTGTATACACACCTGTTTGTTGAGCAAATGTCAGGAAGTTTATGTTGTTTGAAATGGTATATTCAACATTAGTCATAACAATTTGATTAAAAGTTTCAAATATCATTAAGGGAGATATGTGGCTTACCAAAAAAAAAAAAAAAAAAAAAAAAAAGGGACAAGCAGCCAAATGCTGAGAAACACATATGTAAGAACTTGCAATCTGAAATTTGAAGACAGAATTACAAGTGTATTTGACACTTTCATGCATTTCCTTCTAAATTAACATTTCTTTTAAAGCATTCATCCCTGTGTGATGAGTTGCTTTTCAAAACTTTTTCTTTGTACCCTTTTGCATTTTCCAAACTTTCTAGCATGGAAATGAAGAGCTTTTATAAGAAAACAAACAATACATGTCATTTCATCATTTGAACCTCAACCAGAAATCTAACTAGGCTAGCCTTGGCCTCAATTAGCTCAAATTATATTAATCAGCAAGCTGTAATGCTTAGCTTTTAGTTAACATTATTTTCTGATTAACTGAGGGTTAATTGGAAAATATTGCCTGATAAAAGTCATTTCACAATGTGCTAGCCCACAATGTCCAGCCCAGAATACAGCTGGATATTGCTTTGATCATCAGGGCTCCTCTGATATCTCGAATCTTCATCCTGAGCATAAGAGTCACAGATCTGCTAGGAGAATCCTATTGCAGATATAAGACTCCTGAGCCTCCAATCCTACTCTCATATGAGTCTGCTATGTGCTGTTTGTTGTCTGTCACTTCTCTGTTCTGCTCAGTTTTTTCATACAAACGAGTGGGTTTGACAAGTTGACATCCAAGGGACATCTCAGCCATAGCAAGCTGCGTCAGAAGACAAAATTCAATTCAGTTGAACAATCACTTAAAATTTGTTCAGTAAATATTTACTATTTATTATTGCCAAGGACAATTCTAGGTATTTTGGATACAACAGTGAATGAAACAAAGATTCTTGCCCTCCTGAAGCTTGTATTCTAGCAAGGGAAGTAGGAAATAAACATAAGCTTAAAAAATAAGCAAATTTTATAATGTAGTGTGTTACACAGTGAGAAATACCGTTTGCATGTTACAAACCACTCCAAATTTTAGCAACATAACCAATTTCTTTCATTCATTGATTCTGTGGAATCTGTGCAGGGTACAACAGGGACAACCTGTTTCTTCCACACAGTATCCAGAGCCTGGGCTAGGAAGTCTCCAAGGCTGGGGGCTGGAATCATCTGAACATGTCTTCACTCACATGACTAGTGACTGATGCAGGCTTTCAGCTGGGATTGTCCACTGGAAGACCTACACATGGCCTCTTCAGTGACCTGGGCTTCTTCACAGCGTGGTAGCCTTGAGATAGTTGGACGATTTCCATGGTGGCTTAGAGCTCCATAGGTGAGCTCCCCAGATAACAAGGTGAAAAGTGCATCACCTTTGTGACCCAAACTTGGGTATCACACTGCATTATTCCTACCATGTACTATTGATTGTAAGCAGGTAAAAACTCCCCTACTTTCTAGGAGAGGGGAATTTGACTCTATCCCTTGATGAGGAGGAGGGGCAGTTGCCAGATTCTAGAGGAGCATGCAGAGCAAGAAATATTGTGGGGGGAAAATAAAAGCCCAGGCACAGTGGCTCATGCCTGTAATCCCAGCACTTTGGGAGGCTGAGGTGGGTGGATTGCCTGAAGTCAGGAGTTCAAGACCAGCCTGGCCAACATGGTGAAACCCCTTCTCTACTACAAATACAAAAATTAGCCCGGCGTGATGGTGGGTGCCTGTAACCATAAGTACTCTGGAGGCTGAGGCAGGAGAATCACTTGAACCCAGGAAGCAGAGGTTTCAGTGAGCTGAGATCGTACCACTATACCCCAGCCTCAGGGCAGAGTGAGAATCCATCTCCAAAGAAAAAGAGAAATAAAATCTTTGGATAATAATACAGTCTGCCACAAGTACCATGGAAAAAGAAAGAACAGAGCAAGGAAGGGAGATTTGTTCCAGGGACATGAAGTAAAGGAGGTTCCAATAGTAAACAGAATAAAAGGGTAGTCCTTCATTAGAAGATAAAACTTGAATAAAGACATGGTGGAAGATATCTGGAGGAAGAGCGTTCCAGATCCAGAGAGTAATATACCTGGCACGTACAAGCAGTTGCAAAGAGGCCAGGATGACAGAGGCAGAGTGAGCAAGGGATAAAAGTAATAGGAGATTCGGCTGGAGAAATAAAGAGGGACCTGACCATGCTATGCATTACAACCTGTTATAAGGACTTCGACTTTTACTCTGACTAAAATGGAAAGCCACTGCAGAGCTTTAAGAAGACAAGTGCTAATGATCTGTCCTTACTTCATTCTAGCTACTGTGTTGAGAATGGAACTTAGGAAGGCAAGGGTGAAAGCAAGGAGACCAATTAAGAGGACATTGCAGTAACTCAGGTGAGAGACAACAATGACTCAGGGCATGGCAGAGAAGGTGGTGAGACGTGGATGGATTCTGAATATATTTAAAAGATGGAGCCAACAGCATTTCCTAATACATGGTATATGTTACAAAAGGAATTAAGGGTAACTCCAAGGCTGCTGTTTGTGCCACTGGTAGGACGGAGCTGCCTCTAATGGAAGTGGGGACGCTCAAGTAAAGCAGAGCTGGAACAATCTGTAGTTTCATGTTAAATTGAGTTTGCAATGTCCATTAGACATATTAGTGTCTCCATGTAGCAAGGAGGTAGTTGGATCTATGAAGCTGAAATTTGGTAAAGAAGCCTGGGCTGGAGAGAAACCTTTGGGAGTTACTGGCCTACAGATGATTAAAGCCACACTGGGTGAAGTCATCAAGCAAGTGAGTATAGACAAAGACAACGACCTAGGACCAGGCCTTTCAGAATTTCAACTTTAAGATATGGGAGCATTTTCCATGGGACAGACACTGTACTAGGCTCTGGGAACTGAAATAGAGCCCTTGCCTTCTAGGGAACGTAGAGCCTGTTCTTAGAGACTAAAAAAATGCCACCATAGAGGTATATCCAGAGCTATGAGAATCCTTGGGGGTGGGATGCATTAACCCAGCCTAAAGGTGAACAGCCAGTGGCTTTCTGGAAGACATAAAGCCCAAAGCTTGAGAAGTAGGAAGAACCAAATTAAAGAAGGGAAGGGTG